CTGCAAAAAGAGCCGAAAAAAATTATTTCTGTTCACGGCATGTTCCGCACGGGTTTGTAAATGTAACTTGGGAAGGATGACAAAATTGATACTTCATCCATACCAAACCAGGAATTTGCGAGTTATCCCCTACATCCACGGGTCACGGTGGTTCACCCCGAGTGAATATCGCAAATGCTTCACGGCACAAAACAAATAGCTCTGCCATCCAGCCATCCACTCTGAAAAGATGTTTTTGCTGCAGCATGTCTCTGCGCCTAGTTATCACACCGGAGGTCAAGGCAGACGACGTGCCGTTCGGTGCGTGGGTTGGGCAAGGCCGCAAATGCGTCGGTCGATCGAGGAACGTTCGGTCTGTGAAAACCTGGGTGAACCGCACTCTCTAGAGATATGTTCGCCTTTCTTGGCTTCGTAGGCTTCTCTGTGATGCGGAACGGAAGTTTTGAAACCGTGCTGAAAATATCTGAAAATCAATGACAGCATGGCTACCCATACGCTTGGGTACTGTTAGCCAGAAGCCTGTTTCCAGAGAGCAACCCTATGCTTAAAGTCTAAGCAACGGCTGTGTGGTGGCCTAGGTGTTCTTAGAACCTGTCAATTTTTCACAGTGTCTCCTCTGTGTTTGGGAATGCCTGCATTATTCCATACTGTATCCGTCCACCAAACCTATTCAAGAACAATTTGCACCCTGAAGGAAAGCATCCCCGAAGTGCTCTGCGTTCACTATTTATGTGTCTTTGCGGAATCGTAATACCTCTAACTCTCCACCTAAACAACCTCTATGTGACGTGACCAGGCAAAGGGGACCACCAGAAACCAACGCGCGCCAACAACAGGGCCGGAAAACACCAACGAATCAGCGGATAACATATCAAATACTGTAATCAAGCACGGAAATAGCTAGCAAAGCCGCGGCAAGCTGCGGAGTTCATGTCGGCAGTTCCTTCTGTGACATGTTGCAATCGGTTATAAAGAGCACATGTTCTTGCTCGATCAACCATAAGAACAAAAACCAGAATGTTACAAGGGAAGTTCCAAGAGTCTTGGAATGAGCTATTTATTTACTGCTTACTGCCTAGCCTTGCTTGTATTTACAATCCTAATTCCTTATCAATGCCTCAATAACAAGAAGCCTGTCAGAGGAATGTTTGTTCAGACCCAAGGTATTGGTAGCAAGCTTGTGCCCCCAACCCTCATTGTCTGGAACCCAGAATTAACAGCATCAAACATCATCAAACAACTTGTAGATGTCATAGATAATGTCATGACCTAACACAACGAACCCAGTGGCCTTCATACAGCATCTTTTGTCTCGAAATCAGCTGGGCATTTGGAGGTGGTATGGGTGGTGGTCTACATGTGAAATCCCTAATTTCTCACATGCTTTCACAAGATCACTGGACCTTCAAGTGCAACAACTCAAGTTCGCGTCCTGTGGAAGAAAACACCAAAGTCTTCGGCACTCTCAGCACCTTTTGGCACGTTGCACGCTCAGGCTCGGCACCCCGGCCAACGTGACGCGTGCGCCACTCCTGGGCGGGCGCTGCCACGGTTTTTGCATCGCTGTCGCACCAGAAAGAAAACCTACCATACACCTCCATACACATCCATACACATCCATACACCACCCCAGGGACTGCATGTCAAAGCTGGGTTGATTGTTATGTTCTGCAAACGATTAGTATTCGTTTGAAAGACCTGCTAAACCTCCAAAGGTACAAAGATGAAGAGCGACTCGAAGGGAAAAAACGCATTGTTACCCTGAAAAAATAAGATAGTGGCAGGCTGTGGGAGTGCAGTTTTTTAGAAGATTGAATGTTCACATTGAAGATATGTGTATACTAGTGTTGTGGCTCATCAGCGTCTAGTGTTAAGTTGCTTTTGAGCCTGGCCTCCTTGTGATGGCAGAGCTAGAAGGTGAGAGTTTGGCAAGACAATTGGTTGTGAGAAGGGTACCTTTACTGCAAAAGCTAATTTTTTCTTTAGACTAAGGTATAGTAAAGCTTAATAACCATTATAGGGTCAAATATCATAGTTCTTAGAACATAATATATATTTTTTTGATTGTGAAAAGTTGATTCTTGGTCAAGTCTAATTAATTCCAGAGAGCAGGTGTTGCTGGGGGTGTGAGTTTAAGACAAAATGATATAAAATCATGTGTTTTACTGTGTTTTATTGCCCTGGGAGTGCTGGGAACTAGGTCAAAACATTGCCTTTTAGGTAGACAAATAGACTTGTTCAAGAAATATTTGGAATAATCATGTCTATATTAAGAAAGCTTTGTATAAAACTTCTATGCCAAAGGTTTTCCTCTAGATCTCTGGAATGATCCCTTCTATAACAAAATAGTTTTAAGCTGCTAATTCAATAGTTTTCCTCTTCATCTCTGGATGTTCTGATTTTTTACATTAAAAAGCTATATTTGAAAGCCTTTTTGTTCAAAAGATTTCCTTCAAATATCTGAGAATAGGTATTTCGAGGTTTAAAAAGCATGTATATAAGCAATTATTTTAAAGCTTACCTGTTCATTTCTGAAATAATCATTTCTATATTTAAAACTGCCTTCTACATTGTAAGTGATTTTTTTCCAAAAGCTGTTCCCTAGATTTCTGGGATTGATCACTTCTATATTCAAGACTAATATCCAAGGGTGCATTTCAAAAGCTGTCCCCCAGATCTTTGGGCATGATGATTTGTTTAAAGACTATATATAGAAGCTGGGTATTTCACAAGAAAGGATCTCTGTGAATAAATAGTTCTACAAACACTTCTATAAACATATATAAAATAAAAGTGGTTTGCACAAACTTACCTCCAGATCTCTGGGATTGATCACTTCTATGTTGAAAAGCTTTGTTTGAAAGCTTTCATTTTTATAGTTTTCCTCTGGACCTCTGGGAAAGTAGATTTTCTAGAGGTGTGTGTTCTTTATTTTTATGCAATATAAATATAAATACATATATATATATGGTTGTTTATTTATTTATCTGCCACTTGAAAAATCAACCCTTTTATGGAACACATAAATACGGACCCCATGGGACAAAACCAAAAACACCTTGAGAAAACACAAAAATGTATATTCATGAGAGTCTTGACTGAACCCTCCCACAGAGGACAAACTTCTGAAAACACATTTTGTTGGTGTGTTTTAGCGTGTTTTCTTCAAGAAGTGCTCACAAAGTGCAGAATCTTCTGCAGAGTGCACTGCTGGCAATGTAGTTTTCTTAACAAAGGTTAACAGAGTGCCCTCCTCGCAGTGTAGTTGTCTTACAAATCTTAACAGGGTGCCCTCCTGGCAGTACAGTTTTCTTGACAAATGTTGACTCAAAAGAACACACATTCGCGAGGAAACTTAACATTTGTCAAGAAAGCTGCAATACCAGGAGAGCACTCTGTGGAAAATGTTGGACCCTGTGGAATTGCCTTGTCTGCTACCAGGATCATATGGGAGTGCAGTTTATGTAGTAAAATCTAGGCCTATTGCTCATGAAAAGAACCTGAAAAACTGCACTCCCAGGAGCTGCCGTTCTGAAAAATAATGTTTCTCAGGGAAGCGCCCTTTAACAATATGTGTTCCCCCACCATAGTCCGCCGGGATGCATGTGTTATGGTGCCCACCATTGAACCGGACCACCAGACGGACCCGACATCTCTCGGAGGATCGGTGGTGCTTTTCTTCGGCCCGAAGAAGGCGGGTCGAAGATCTGACACGTCGGGGGCGGAAAACGATCTGAGCAACTCACCTGGGAGGACATGTTCGCCTGGAAAGATTCTAGACTAGCTGTCCATTCCTAGTATAGTTGCTTATCAGATGATTTATCTTCAAAGGTTGACTCCAACCCCATCAACCCACTGAGCATTCCCACACGGCCATGGTGGCGCTGCGCGCTTGACATTGGAGCCGATGCATCGCGGTGGCGGCGTTGGCGTGGGGACACAGCTGGCGAGACACTGGTGAGTCAAGCTCTCCAGAAAAGGTGAACCAAATTATGACCAAATAGATCCAAATAGACAAAAGATTCTGTTCCTGATCCAGCTACCCCAGAAAGGAGAGCCAGTTGGTCCATATGTCAGATTCAAACAGCAAGCACCTGGGCGAGGCTTCTCATCCAAAAGAGTCGCCAACCCTCAAGCGTGGACCTGGAGCAAACACCTGGAGACCAGCTGAAGCCTGGGTGAGGGGTCCTTCCAACCACCCAGAGCCCAGCGACGTCCAAGTGTGGAGGCAACGGCCTGAAGGAGCCCTTGATTCTGGGGTCACCACATGTCACAAAGTGCTCAACCCACAAAGCAAATTCAAATCCGGCCAATCCGACGGGTGTGCACCAAGTGCGCACCCGAAATCCCAGATGATCAGGCGCTTCACTCACCCAGTCAACCCAAATAATTGAACCTCAGGTCAGGTTGGCGGTCTCTAGACGGTCTAGGACTTGGAATTGCACCTGCTCAAGTTGGATTTGCATGCTGCGCCACCAGAGATCGCCCACAGGATCCTTAAGAGCCTCAAAACAGCAAGATGGTTCAGATGTGTTCAGATGATCTAAAGAATGGGCCCGGGCTTGGAAAACTCCGTGTCACGCATCAACTACAGTGTCCAACCCCTCCCTGTACTGGAGGCTGCCAGAAAGCGCGCTTGCCGCAGCTACATTGTGGCACACTGCGCTTTTCCAGATCAGCTTGCTCTAGAGAGATTCACCACCAGCCAACCAGATTCACGCAGGTTCTCTGGTGTTCTGCAGAACAAAACATCCTTAAACATGGAGCTGATTCCGGAACAAACTCCTTTAGCAGGTGTGTCATAGTTCCACCAACAGTACAATGAAGTCTCAAGAGGTGTTTCGATCCAAACGGCTACCCTGAAACCTGGTGTGTGTTGGGTCCTGAAACCATGGTGTCATCTCCAGAAGTTCCGGGTTCCGGCCTAGCGTCGCTCATGCGTCGCCGTGCTGCGTCACCGAGATCCGTCGCTGAGATCCGGCGAGAGTGCAGCCTCGCGCTCAGCCCTTGACCGCCTCCTCAAACTCTTCTGCCGCCTTCTCAGTCAGGGGTTCCTTGAGCGGGAGCCGGACGGGATGACCAGTGGCTGCAGTGGGCGCTTGCAGTGACAAAGCAATCCACAGCAGACCAAGCTTCCATAGAAATCAGAGGTCGACAAGAAAGACATTGCCACGAGCCAAAATCTGCAATGTTAGTATGGTATCGTATGATTCGTATGCTTTGGAGCAGTCTCGGTAAAAGAACGCTATACTTATTGATTACAAACTGGAAGAGAAACAGGCTCTCAGTCTGCGCTGATTTAATCAGCGATTACGCCATCTCGCCGACGCGCCCGTCGTCCTCCAAGAGCTGCCTCGCCACTCGGGGCGAAAAGGTGAAGGTATCCAAACCTGGCGTCGCCGCGGTCGGCGGACCGCGGTCTGCGTCGCCACCCACGTGCCTTTCTGTGCAAGGACCTGCATGTTCACCACATCCCTCAGGCTCGCCACCAGCACTCGGGTCTTCCCACCAATGCCACCAACGATCTCATGCATCTTGTAGCACTGGTCAAAGCCATCCTAGCGCAGCTGGCTGTGGGATGCCATAGCCATGTGGGACGCGTCCATCTGTCTTTACTCCAACGTTAGACCTTTCATGGGAAAGAAAAAGCAGCACCAACACGCTGTGCAAGTTCGAGTCCATCGTGTTCATCTTCATCGTCCTGAGTGGATCTACGTGTTCGTTCTTGAGCGGAAATTCGGCGACAATAAGCACCCGCCATGAGTGTTCTCAAGTGATGTAAACTGGCAAACAAACAAACAAACAAACAAGGGTCAAGTTGTCAAGGAGGCCTTCCGAAAAAAGCCTTGGGGTGTTCTGTTAGAAGCTTCGCCCTTCCTCGGCATTCCGCTTCGCACCTCGGCTCCCGGCGCTCTCCCCGAGGCGAAGGACCGAGCCGGTCCTTCCGGTTGTCGTTCATCCGCCCCAGGTAAGGTGCCACATATTCCACTCCCAGGCCAGTGGCAATCAGCGCCTGCTTAGCACTGTAGCAGGCAGTAAGGCAGACCCGGACTCCTGCGCAAACCGAGGTTGGAGGCGGTTGCCCAGCGGTCGCCGGGCAGGTGACCGAGAGGTGAGGTCGAATCGTCCGATGTAGACCAGGACGGCTCGTGTTTGCAGGTGTGGACAGCCTGACAAGCGATGGTGGTTGGACTTGGACGATCGAGTTCCTGCGAGCTGTTCATGCTTCTTCATAAATGACCGGTCAAAGCTCGTCGGCTTCGACTCGAGAGTGGTTATGAAGTTATAAATATATCTATCATCAAGGGAAGCGTGACTCCTCCCCAGTGTTAGCACTATCAGGTTGGAGCTGCATCTATGCAGGAGGAAGGGCATCGGATGACCTTGCACACAAGTTTGACCTGCATGGGCACTAGCTCCCCAAACAGTTCCCATCCAAACGTGCACTCCTTAAATGCAAGTGTAGAACAAGAAGCTGGAGTCTTGGGTGGAAGCGATTACACCAAAATTGGCAACCTCATGTGCAAGGTCTCAGGATGTTGGGCTAAATGATCAAACTGACCACAAGATTTACAGATATTTAGATTCAGATGGCACATTGACCCCAGCTTGAGCCAGGGAGGAGGAAGTGCCATCTGAACTCTAAAACCGCTGGGACTATGTCCCAAACTCTTAGCACAAGTGACCTGAACTGAGCAGCAAGACCGGACGAATCTCTCGTCTGCTTACCATCCAACCGGTACTGAACGGTTTGGGATAAAAGGACATGATAAGGATCGAAAAAGAAATCAAAACCCTGAACAACAGTTTCGTCTTTCAAGGTGTCTGATGTGTTCTTTGAGGCTCTCAAAAATGGGTAGGACATGGTAGGACTATCATCACATAATACATGATGTCACATGAATTGAAATTAACCAGCTTGACTCTTCAAGGACATGTCTGAAGCGAGAACTCCTTGGGTGTCTTTTGATCACAAGTGGTCATTGCAGCAAAAGATTGTCGTTCGGGCCTTTTGGTCCTCGAATGCCGGTCCTCACCAGTTTAGAGGGTGGTCGTTCTTGTAGTTCGCTATCTTTGTCCCTGTGGTTTGCCTGTGGTTTAAGCGCACAACATCAGCGAGTGAGACATAAAGAGGTGTTGCATGAAGAGTTTTGCCTGCGGATTCATCTCTTATTCAGATATCACTCAAGACATATCACAAGCCAAAATGCCATCTACAACTCAGCAGGACCGGCACCATGACCAAGGCCCCCCAAAGGCCCAAAGGCACCAAGGGCCCAGAAGCGCTCTTTGCGCGCGCTCCTTCTTCCAACAAGCGCTTGGCTGCCTTGATCCCTTCCACTGTGGCCGGCACCTCGCGTTGGGTTCGGAAGGTGCCAGTGGGCCTGCTGTGAGGGATTCCAATCAATCCAAAGAAGAACCACAAAATCCTTCAGGCCTTAGATGAAGCAACGCATTGCTGTAGTTGGTTAGAGAGGTCTTTAAGTCTTTTTACCGCCCTCACCATCTCGGGTACACCCGACTGCATGACTATTTGGGACCTAGCCGTACATGGCCTACCTTTGACCCACAGCCACACAACCCCATCTTGGAGGGAAAGTGGTTTGGTTCTGCACAGATCGGGATCGAAGAACCCTCCTCAAACAGGCCGGAAAGTTGCTAAGTGCTTTGTAACACCAGAAAGTGGATGATGACACCCCATCATCAAGTTCTTGACCCGGACCCACAGACGCCTCTACCAGTGCTGCAGTGCTGCAGCCGTGCCTTCACCACGATCTTCTCCTTGTCCAAACCCGCCAGTTTCATCCCGGTGTCGTACAGCTCGCCTCATCATGCGCTACACGACACAAAGTCCGTCCCCGATCCGGAAAAAAGGATCCATCCCTCCTTCAGGGGTTTGAGCACCGTTGCCAAGTTTGTGATCATTCCCAGACCATCCATAAAAAAGGACTTCCACAGATTCAATCCACGGCTGCGGCCTTTTCTTGTTGATTCAATCCTGTTGGTATTGAGTGATTAATCGGTATATCATCGCATACCATATATCTATACGTCCAATGAAAAAACATGTCCCGTGCGCTTGAGCCTGCTGTCACCGACCCAACAAAATGTCCCGTGCTTTGCCACGCAGTAGTGGTCTATATCAAAACTTGGAGATACCCCTCAAACTGGCCGACCCAATTGTCAAACTCGTCACCGCAGGGACTCGACTCCAACGTCGAAAGACATGTTGACCAAAGGAGAAAGACATTGGGATAGTCCAAAGGAAACAACAATTTTGAATTGTGTTCACCGCTTTTCTCGTGTTCCCTCCACAGCTGGTCTTATATCCAGATAACAAACAAATAATATATAATATAAATCAAGACATACACATCATATCACATCATACTACAGGGTAATACACCGTCTATGTCTTGCATGTTCGGAAGAACATTCCTGTGAACCCCTCGAACGCATTGTGCAGGTACACCCTCTTCCCTCAATATCAACCGATTGATGTGGATCAGACAAAAAAATGTGCCCTTCCTCCAAAACGCCGCCGCGCACGCCGGGATGACAGGCGAAGGCACTTGCATCCTTGCCCCAGCTTTGGCACATGAACTCATCCGTATGCTTGAAGGCCTGCCCTGCAAGCTGATGGAGCGAGTCGACGGTGCACTTGACGTTGTCCTTCTTCAAGATCCTGAATGGGAGCATGAACAGTGGGAATGTGGGAAGAATCGGCCTGTAAAGCGGGTGGCCATCTTGCTTGACTGTGCAGTAAAGCATCGAGAAGAGCTTGGAAGAACTATAGTAGTGACAATTGATTCAAGCATCGCTCCGTGGCCATGTCTGAAATCCAGAATATATGGATATGTTATAGTTATTTTTTCTCATGTGTTGTAAGTAAGACAAGGGCCTTGAGGTGAGCTTGCATTTATAGAACCGTTGCACACCTTCACCAAAATACTGTAATGAGATGTAATGAGATGTAATGAGTCATTTTCATAGAAAGTACAATCCTAGACTGACGAAAAATCTCAACCCCTTGAGGTGAAGAGGTTATCAAGAGTCCACATCAAATCGGACCATCTGCCGGGACACTCTTCACTCCTTGGGCCCTGAAGGCGGAGGGCCCCTGTTTGAGGTTCCACCGATGCGCTTCCAGACGCAAGGTCTGGAAGGGCTGGAGGACGGTGGCCTTTCAAAACATGATACTTGACCAAGGACTTGCATCGGACGCCCTTCTGACCTTGTGCAGGCGAACTTCATCCCACTGTTCCTGCCATCTTCTGCGAGATTCTTACCAGAGACCGAGAGACCAAGTCGCTTGTGATGTACCCCATCATCCACCCATCCACCAGTGGGGGACTTTCACCAAGCCACATCCTTCCGGCCCCGGCGGATCTCTCTCCAGATCTCTCGACCACGGCGAGAGACGCCACAGGTCTCATCGATCGAGTCTCGCAGGGTTCGTGGTGACGCCCGAGAACATGCCCAAGGGCAGAAGCTCATCGTAGGCGCTCACGTCTGCGGTGTCCAGGAACAGCCGCGCTTTCCCACGAAGCGGCGGAGTGAACCCCGGCCGATGCCCAAAAAGACCTCAAGCTTTTGGAAGGCGACGTAAAGAAAAGACGAAGCGAACAACTTGGCCGGTGACTGAACCCCTAAAGAAAAGCAGGTTGGTCATGATACGTCATGATGACTCATGATTCTAGATGTTTTGTCTTCGCTCACAACTCCGTAGCAAAGCCACATCGACACCACCAAAGAATCTATGAGTTTATCAATACGCGAAGCTTGGTCACGTCTGGCGTCGGAAAGCGCTTCGTCGGGTGGCCAAGGGTTAGCCAAGCTGCCCAGGGCCAGCAACAGCAGGAGTAGTTGGCCGCGATACATGTCGTCGCACAGAATTCCGGCGCTGGCGTCCGGTTTTCAACACGCTCGATTTGCGTCCAAGGTCACTAGTCCTGCGTTGAGCTGCAAGGTCACTAGGGTGCGATATCAATTGGTGCCATGATTGACCTTCGTCTTTCGCTCACATGGGCTTGGAACTCAAGCAACTTGTTCAGCGGCGAGCCGAGAATCTAACCCAAGTGATTGTGGGTCAAAACCGGAGAACACCGAACAAGGCAACTGTCCAAAGAGTCCAAAGCCTGGGATTCCAACAACCATTGTCTTCATGGTATTTGCCAAACAACCAGAATAGCCTTCGAAGGCCAGGGCGAATAATCCGTGCTTCGCAGTCGCAGATGTTTACATCAAGCTCCTTCCGTTTTGGGCCTTGAATCCGAAATGGGTCCCGCATCCCTGGTCCCTCGGCCAATGGTGTTTTCCACATGCCGCGCTCGCTGGACTCTCAGGCAGTCCCAAACCTCGGTCCGATGGTCACAGAACCTTCCCGGGAGGTCGAAAAAGGGTTTTACACGACTTGCGCATGAAAATCATCCGTGTTCATCTCAGGTTCCAAGAACAGCCCACAAGCTCGTATGTGTTTTTTTGTATCGCTCACACCTGCTTTGCATCGCTGGTGTGAGAAAGGTCCAGCAATGTAACCACGGGCCACACGTGTCTGGGGAGAACTGTGAGTAGAATAGCCTCTTAGTTGTACTTCGATCGTGAAGTCAAGAAACTAACAATCGTAGCAACTGGCAAAGGGACTGCAAACAGAATACCTATTCGATGAGCTCTAACAGGTTCCATGTGTTTTATTTCGCAGGACGCGTTGGTGTCGTGAGAGTAGGGCAATTCTCTTGCCAGCATTGTGTTAGGGTGCCTCCAGGCAACTACATTCACGTAACCTACTGGTACCGACTGGTCAAGACTTGAACAGAAAGTTCAAAGTTCCGTGTGCTCCACCGGCGGCCTTCTCAGCATCTGTTTGTTTCCACGAACACAGGTGCCGCAGAGAAACGAGCCTCTCACGTTCGTGCTTGGTCGGGCCTCGGACGGCCTGGGTGGCCCCAACGATTCGTCCACCAAGGCAGAGAGGAGCTTCTCCAGGAGCTGCGCCTTGGAGCTGTAGAAATGCCTTGGAGCTTCGCCAGGCGCGCGAAGCTAGCGGTTTTCTGGGGCGCGGCATTTCTGGGGCACGTTCGTTCCGTTTGGATCGGAGCGGTGATGTGTGCGTTCTTTCCACGCCGGCAAAACGTGGAAGGTGAAGCGAAATGAACATGTTTTGTTCGATGTCCAATGTGTGCATTCCACTATAGCTATTCAAGGCTCATTACCCAGCTTTCAGGGTGCGGTGCAGTGAATGATCTTGAAATACATGGTGTCGTGAAGTACATGAGAAATCAAACACAAAAGCAATGCTCCAAAGCTCCCTTTAAGCAGGAAGGGAGTCTTTGGTGCTCAGCAACTGAAAATCAATGTGAGTGTTCACATTTGACCCTTGCTTGCACCACTGGCGGCCCCCACAGGACCAGCTTGTTGACGCCTTGCAGGACCACTGGCCGTGATCGAACAGCGAGAGAGACCATGATCGAACAGGTCGGCTGGATCGAACCGCCTTCGAAGGCTGGATGGAACTGACCGCAGTTTGGACCAAACGGTCCTGTCACTCGAACACCTCTCTCGAACAACTTGGGCCCGTCTTTCCTTCCTAGTTCTGACGCAATCCTTGACCCGGAGAAAGTTGGACCTGCTTGGAAGTCAAACAACACAAGCTTCAGCGGCTGTGGCTACGCTAGGCACTCTGAGACAGCCAGCCACCTTTGAAGTTTTTCATGGGCAAGCCCGAAAACGTGTGGGTAGGCCCACCAGTCCATTTTTTGCTACAACGGAAGCTAGCCACCAAAGGGGGAGGAACCCAACTTGGTGGATTCGTCCGGAGCAGTCTGCTCGATCTGTGGCCAGTCGGCATGTGTCTCAGTTTGGCACAGAATGATCTCCCAAGATCCTTTTCGCATCCTAGGTCTTTGAAACAAGGTCTTCGAGGTCAGACCCCAAAGGGCCACCATAGGTCCACCCACTCCCCCAACGGTCGGCCCGGTTGAGCCGCTGGCAGGTGTGAGCCGTTGGCAGGTGGTGCTCGGAGCCTAAAGGTGACCTGCTCGCAACCCCTTGACACTGGAGAAGTGGATCTTTGCTGTCTGCTGGTGGGGGGTGAGAGGCGAAAACCCGACCCCCGCTTTGACTCACATATGATGGAACTGGAGAATGGACCCGTGGTTTTAGACCCTGTTCCGAAGACCAACCCCAGTGGATTTGGGGGTTCCATGTGATCCTCTAGTGGGGAGTACTGAATGCGACATCTTTCAAGAAGGACTCTGTCAGGAGATGCTTGGACGCGGAACCAGTTGCAGCATGGTGAGACCCCGTTGCAACAGAATGTCCATCTCTTGGTGTGTCTTGGAACGTCGGAATTTAGAAGGGACAGACGAACCGGTTCCCCGATATGAGGGGTCTTGCATCAACAAAGAATAGGTACGAGTAAAAAGGTGTGTTCGGATTCAACGATCGACAGTTCAAAAGCCTACCAGCACAAACCACGAAGACCGAAGGGTTTTGCTCCTTAAAGCTTTGTCTGAAAGAGGACTTCCTCAATTTCATACTTTTCCAGACAGAGGCTAAGTACTCCCGACCTCAGAATCAGGAACTGTCCCCCCAGAAAGCGGTCTCACTCAGGAAACCGCTTCCAGGAATTTTCCGCTTCAGCTCGAAGACCCGGACACTTCCACCGCAAAGGGCGGCCGCAGCTCTGCGAAACCGCCTGACGCGTGCAACTCAGGTGGACACGCCCGTGCGCAGATGGGGAGTTTCCGCATGTGTTCTAGCAGCGAGCAGGTTCCTATCCTTAGAGCATCACCCAAATAGAACTAGGAGCTTCTTGTTACTACTAGTAAGGCACTTGTTACTAGAAGCGATGCACTTGTTCCTAGTATCGTGGCACTTGTTTCTAATAGCTTCTTGTTTCTATTAGCTTCTTGTTACTACTAGTAAGGCACCTGTTACTACTAGCGTGGCACCTGTTTCTAATAGCTTCTTGTTTCTAATAGCAAACCAGAATCTCAGAACAGCCTTCCCACCAACAAACCCAGACAGTGCACACCGCCTCGCAACTCTGCTGCACTCCCAGCGGCACTTCCACAAACCCCGAGTGTCCATCTGTTTCATCAGTGTGTTCGAGTCCCATCGAACACATGCGGGAAAAGGCGTAATTAACCATCTTCAATCGATGGACGAAGGTCCTGAGTCCTGTCAATTCAAGGAAAAAGAACCTCTTCATCATGCAAAACCGTTGGCATGGTCGGCAGAAATTGGAGGCCATCGCTAGAAACTTGCCATCGCTACTGGGTTGGAGGCCATCGCTATGAGATTGAAGGCCATTGCTGTTAGGTTGGAGGCCATTGCTATCAGGTTGGAGGCCATTGCTATCAGGTTGGAGGCCATTGCTATTAGGTTGGAGGCCATTGCTATTAGGTTGGAGGCCATCGCTATTAGGTTGGAGGCCATCGCTATTGGGTTGGAGACCATTGCTATTAGGTTGGAGGCCATTGCTATTGGGTTGGAAGCCATTGCTATTAGGTTGGAGGCCATTGCTATTGGGTTGGAAACCATTGCTTCTAGGTTGGTGGCCATTGCTATTAGGTTGGAGGCCATCGCTATTAGGTTGCCAGCCATTGCGATTAGGTTGGATGCCATTGCTATTAGGTTCGAGGCCAATGCTATTGGGTTGGAGGCCATTGCTTCTAGGTTGGAGGCCATTGCTATTAGGTTGGAGGCCATTGCTCTTAGGTGGGAGGCCATTGCTATTAGGTTGGAGGCCGTTGCTTCTAGGTTGGAGGCCATTGCTATTTGGTTGGAGACCATTGCTATTAGGTTGCAGGCCATTGCTATTAGGTTGGAGGCCGTCCCTATTAGGTTCGAGGCCATGGCTATTAGGTTGGAGGCCATTGCTTCTAGGTTGGAGACCATTGCTATTAGGTTGGAGGCCATTGCTATTAGGTTGGAGGCCATTGCTATTAGGTTGGAGGCCATTGCTTCTAGATTGGAGGCCATTGCTTCTAGGTTGGAGACCATTGCTTCTAGGTTGGAGACCATTGCTATTAGGTTGGAGGCCATTGCTATTAGGTTGGAGGCCATTGCTTCTAGATTGGAGGCCATTGCTTCTATAGGTGTATCAGATGTTGTGAGGTTTTGTTCCCGACTTCGGATTTATCCAGACCCGACTGCACCTGGGGGTGGACGACTAGAGCCGGTGGCGAAGCGCAACAAACGGCAGCGCTGTTCGGCCTGAAGCCGGAATTGCAGGGCCGGCGGTGAAGGCTCTGATGATCTCTGATGCTGGTTCGGTTCTTCTGGGGTTGAAGGTTCAGAGGTCTTGTCTTCGTTGTTCATCCGTGTTTGAGTCAACTCTAGTCTTAACTCTGGTCACTTGGTCTGTGAATCAAGCCCAACCCAACCGGAGGAAACCTGAGCTCGCCTGAGAACGGCATCCCCACTGCTCACCACACGACCGCTGTACACTCCCGCTGACGCGCCCTTCGCGCGCGTTCCACTCCCCAGTTGCTCTCGCCCTGTCGGTGAAGTCCCGATGGTTCGTGGTACGAGGTCAAGGGGTCAATGGGTTTCCTCTGTCTGATGTGAAACATGGGAAGAATAGAGAGGAAGAAGAGTGAGGATGGAGGATGATCCTGATGATCCTCCTCCAGATTCGACGAACCTTCAGAGGCTCTGCAGAGAACCTGGAAACCTGTAATTTATGCTTTCAGGAGGGTAGATGAGCGCATTAGGGCTTTCGGGAAGGTATCTGTCATATGTGCTCACATAGTGGATGGTTCAATTCTTCCAGCTCACAAGAAAGAATACATGAAAATGCGCCATTGGAGCCCCAAACACCTCGCATCCAAACCATGGGAATCTCCGCATGCCATCGGGTCATTCCGCTGCATGTCATCGCTGTGCCCCACCCACGGATCGATCGCATCTGTGCCGCCGGCGGCGAGGTCTTTGGCCACCGCATCCCAAAACCTGGGTGGAAAGAGGCGTTCAATGAATGCTCCGTTCGTAGCGATGCCAGGAACCCCTATAGCTAGCGTCCGATCGCTCCTAGTCCTAGTAGTAAGGCCAGGAGCCCCGTTCGTAGCTTCTTGTTACTGGCGTTAAGTCAGGTGTCTCACAGAAGAGTGGGCTCTGCGAGGCGACCGCGGGAAGACGATCTCCATGGACACGGAGACGCGTCCGCGACCCGTTCGGCCCCGAATCCTCTGGAGGGGTCTCAGATCCGGTTTTGAGGGACCTGTCGGGCTGTGAACTCACGGAGCGTCTGGGTACTATGCATTTACTACCAACATCCGACTTCATGGGTCACCAATTGAGACCAGAAGAAGGACCTTGGCAGTGAGGCTGATACACACAGGTTTAGTTGGTTTCTTTTCCATCAATCAAAGGGAGTCTTCTCCAAAGGCTTACTTTTCGAGCAACCAATCTCTGGGCTAGTTGGTACATGCGCGCGGCATCACGTGTCAAGGGCATTCAACACTGTGAACCTTTGCACATCATTCAAACTCAATCTAGCAAATGTGGTCATGTGAATGGTGCCTCCTGTCCAGAGACCTTGCCTTCTACATTGTGTGCATGATGGAAAGTACACTTTACACTGTTTAGATGTGGAGTGCAACCACCATTGACAAGCAAAGCTCGAAAGATTTCAGCACCGGACCATTCCACCACCTGGCAGCCAGGGGGGGACTCTGGAATCAGTTGGCCGCGTCCAGACCAACACTATGGACATCCGCCCAGATCAGGATGTTGCAATGGATTCCAAGAGTATGGCTTTGGAGAAGGTCCCACCATGAAAGCACATACACTCCCCAGAATAATCACGGAAATGGAAAATGAAAAAGGCCCCTTGGAAATCCTTGGAAGATGATTTTCCTTGACGAACAGGGGGTGCCATTCATGTGATGTGTTCGTCAGAGGGTACTAAAACCGGCGCTGCACTGCATCACCCATCGAGTTTGGCTCGTGAACAGTGCACTGGCAACTTCAAGATCGTATCAGTTGCACCTGCTGCTGGAGCTTGTTGTTGGCCTTCGGACAACGCGACGCCACAACGCCCGCCCTTCGGTGGATTTACCTTGGCCCACTGGGCCGTCTCGACACCGTCGGTCCATTGGTCTTTAATATCACAGCGAGAGTGAAGCCAGCTTCGCCCGCTTCGTGTTTCGCCGTGTTTCGCCGTGAAATGGCCGTGTTTCGCACTGAAGCGTTCAGCAGTTGAGCTCCCTTGCGCAGCTGCTGCTGTAGAGCCTCCACTCCTAGCACTGCTTTGGGGAACACAAGCACGAATCCAAAGAGTCGCCACTCCGTGGCGTTACTATGAACGTCACAAGAGGACGCTACGACGAACGGGGCTCCTGGCATCGCTACGAACGGAGCATTCTTACTACTAGTATCAAGAAGCTATACTACCTAGTGAGTCGCCAAGACTCCTAGCAGCTGTTTCCGCCCCCCCGGCGCTCCGACCTACGTCCCTCCTCTCTCTCCTCGGGGTCCGGATCGCAAGAGCCGGAGATCATGGCAGACAGCTCCACAGCGCCCACGTTCTCACGCCTCGCCCACTGCTCGTTCGTTCGTCGGTTGGTTCGATGTTCGTCGGTCAAGTCGTGAGCTCTTGGCCGCTTCGTGGGTGCGAAGAGACGTCCACTCAAGTTCCCTTCCGCTGAGGATGGATGGCTCCAGGTCCAAGACATGCCATACATGTGACGCAGCTTCCCATTCGGTCGACTGGAGGATCTTGGAGGGTTGTCTTCTTTGAGTCTGTGAAGGGTCTGCGGTCCACCTCTTTGGACCCAGACCGGGAGATGAAAAACTGGCCGCCAACGACCTGCTTCATGCTTCTCATCACCATCTCGGTGACCAGTGGATCGCACCCACAAAGAAACATCCGAACAACTGTCTTTGACAACAATTCATGGAATGTTCAGTGGAGGTTCATAATGGTTCATCTTTGAGAAGGGCTCACAGCCTCTCACCAAATGCCGGCATGGCAGCCGCTTCTATGCATCCATTGGAGACCTACCTATGCAAATGATCTCTCCCAAGCCGGTGTTTGAAATGCTCCACCAGTGGTTGTCCCCCAAGAAGGCAAACGTGAGATCTCAAAGAGAGGTATGCTTGGAGTTGAGGCAAGCACATCGAAATCATCTTAAGAATTTACCAACTGCCCCGTATACTCCACTAGCAATTTCGACTCAAAATGGTTCCTTGATTCGCGGCTTGCCTTCATGTTTGCACCCCACAAAATTGATCCTTCTCACCCCTGGAACCTCCAAAGTATGCCTGAAAGGCAAGGTATTGGCTGATGGTTTGAGGCAGCCAAGGCAGCTGGAAGATGCAAGAGCATCGTTCACCGCACGTACTTGCCATTTGGGTGCAGCATTTCAGAAGCCCTACAGTAAGACCCACCCCGACATTCCATCGCGCCAGGGCACTGTAGCAGGTGAAGGGGCAGCACTTCCCAGAAGCCCTGACCGTGGAGCAGTGGGTGATTCGTCCCACACGGGGCCCCACCGCGGCCGCCTTATGTTTTTTCTCTTCTGTTTGCCGAGCTGCGGACTAAAGTGATCGAACATGATAGACATCTAGATCGTTCCTTGCTTATTGGGAAATCCCGCATTAAAAACCTCTGGGTAGATTCCACCAGAAACACCCACGCTCCGCTCGACTCCAAGTGGACTTGGACAGCCTTTAGGGGACCCGGGTGGCTTCCGTAAGGACCAAAACCAAGACCTCAAGGTCTGAAACTCCCAAGACCTCCCCGGTCTCTCCAATCACAGACCTCTCGCTCCCGCATGCTCCCGCTGACTTCCTCTCTTCGGTCCTGCTGAAATGCGCCATAGCTGCGGCCTTTGCCGCCCAAGAGCCGGTCGTGACACAGAAGTTCCAGGTACTCCCGACCTGGCGCAGGTGGCCACCGGTGGACCTGGGAAGGACCTCCAAGTCCCAAAGTCTCACTCCATGGGACATGCCAACAAAACATGCCTGGGGGCTGCGTGAGTTCGGTGGAAGTATGAAAAGACATCCCCTGAACACTCAAGCAGTGAACGAACACTTGTGTAAGGTCAGTCCAGTCCTTCTGTGCTTCCTCCGCTTCAGGTCCTTCGTGTTGAAAGTGGATGTCCCAAGCCACAGGCTCACATGGTGAGATTGCCCCAAACGTTCGGGAAGGGGGCAGATCAAACCGTTTCGTGGGGATTTCCCCATGCAGACCTTTCCCCACGAACAAGCCCCCAAGCGGCTTGGCCTTGATGTCCCAAGATGTCCAAGCCCAAGCTATGATGTTCATCCAGGCTCATGTTGGATGACATCTATGGACTTGTCTAGTGACCCAAAAAAGTGGATCAAATGGACCTATACCTATAGAACTAGGATCTAGTTCAGAACTTCTTGCTTGGAAGATATGTTGGATGATGTGGACCTTTTGACCAAAGACTTCTAGAGCCCCCCCCAAAAAAAAGTATAAACAAGGTGGATCTATATCAACGAACCTTCCCCGTCTGACCGAAACTGCTCGGTCTGCGCACGGTCGGATTCGTAGACCCTTCGCTGGTGGCCACCCACGACCAAGGCCTCGCGGGCGCACGAGGGTCGGTGAGGTCTGAGGCGTCGAAGGTGACAACGGAGTGGGATGACGGAGTCTCAGATCGGTTTGTGACGGAGTCTCAAGATGCTTTATGGTTTGTTTTGGTCTTTTTTGTAGATTTAAGGTGATGTGTATAACGAACATCTCTGTTTCAAAAAATATATATAAAGAAAGAAAAGGATGAGAAAACGGTGTTCACTCCGGGTTTCTCTTGTGCTAAATGAACAAATGTGTTAAACAAAGAGCTCGGAGCGACACAAAAGCGGGCGAGTGATGAGCGATGAGTCCACAGATCTTGCGGCCTTTGAGTGCACAGAATGCCCACAACAAAGCGATGCCCAGATCTACTGATTGAAGTTCAAGGTAAAAATGGCTGGAGATGCGTTCAAGATCAAGAGCATCCACCACATGCTCAACTTCAAAGGATCCAATGCATTCTACAATTCTAGGGCACAAAACCAGCTACAGTAAACGGCGATGAGAGCTGCAAGAAGCACCCATCAGGATTGAAGTCAATGATATCACCGCTCTCCAAACACAAGCAGTATGGTATACTAGAACACATGAGACAGGAAAGTGTGTGGACACTTTTTATGCTATAGTTTGGGCAGAAAAAATGTGCAAACTTCGAACCTGTCAATCCCTTTCACTACTCCCATGTCATTCATTGTCATTCGCCATATTCTGCAGTTTCGGTAGACCCTGGAGGATCACCAGCCCTGTCAGAAGTCTTTAGTATTGATCCCAAGTGCATCTACCACACCAGCACAAGGTTTTGAACCCTTGTTCCACAGCTGATCATGCAGTGGATGGCGCAAAGCTAACGCCCCATACTCAGCCTTGGAAGGCGACCCTGCCGAGACAAAGGTCAATGGCCTCAGAACGAGAGCGTCGGCATCTTGTCCATCTGGCCAAGCTACTACACCTCGCTCCCAACGTCCCGGCTGTTCAGGTGCGCACCAAGAGGAGCGAACCACCCAGACCACCCAGACCCTCGCGCGGGATTCACTGGGGTGCGAAAAACGGCCCAGACCCTCCCGTGGTAACCCTTCCAAGGCTCGGACTCTCCCAGGGCCTCCTCCAAACGTTGCAGCCCGTCGCGCTCCAGCAGCGGCCGCACCTCCCCGGTCGGTCATCGGTCAGGTCGCGGGACACGGAGGGGTGGACGGTGCACTCAGCACTTCGGTGGAAACGATGCGGGACACGGAGGGCGGGGTGCAGCGGCATCGATGGGCGAAGCTGCAGGGGGATCATGTGGGTGAAGCTGCCTGCAGTCTGCAACGACATCATGTCAAAGGAATCCTGTTTTGCTACAGCCAACAACAATCCCCTCTGAGAAACGGGGGAATCTCTAGCAGGTTTCTGGAAGGATGTGCTACCCTCATGCAACACATTCGGTATGGACTACTTCTGGTCTCTCTAGCTTCCACAGGTGCCAAACGGTCTGGGCCAGACACGCTGGGACTGGGCACACCAGTCCCCGCTTCCCCTTCTGTGCGCCTCACATGGTCCCAGGATTCCCGGCCCGATGTTTACAGAAGTCGTGATCCAGCACGTCCACGTCAGAGAGCGAGAGAGTGCCCCTGCCGGTGAAAAAGAGACAGGGCTAAGGATTCCAGCAGGTGTCCTTTCTGCCCTCCAGTTGACGAGCCAATTAAACAGAACACAGGACAGTGCCAAATGTGTCCCAGCAAAATCCATGTGGCCTTTTGAGTTTATAGGCACAAAGTGTTGTTTGATGGTCTCCTTGTCCTTTTGTAAGCAAATCCATGCTCATTGAACACCCGGAACGAGACGCAAACGGTTCATGTTGGATATGTGTCTGTTGAACACCCCATCGACTCGCTCGGCGTCCGCAGTTCAAGTGGGCGGAAGCAGGTCCACAGGGGCAAAGGATAGAGAAGAAAACATGACTAAGTAGGCGCCTACTTAATTGAGGGCTGTCTACAACCTACTAGGCAACCTGCTATTAGCGAATGGACGCAGGATTGCTCACACTTCTATTCATTGGGTTCCTAGACTCGTGGAGTTGATCGTATAAAATTACTAACTACTGAATGAGGTTTTCAGGACCAGGTTGGGATCTGGGTCAGACTGGACCCGTGGGGTTCAGGATCCTTCGGATCAAAAGGTGTCTTCACCTTAGGGCCATTTGTGTGGCCAGAAAGGGAAGGGAAAAACATCCTGTTCGGATCCTTTTCGGAGAGGTCGAAGTGTGGGCGAAGTGCTCAAGAGCTCGCTCCGGCCAAGCAGGGATGCCAATTGGACCAGCGTTTCAGATGCTTTAATGGAACAAATGGATTGCATAATCAGAAGAAACGTGCTGTCCAGTCGGTTTGCATGGAAATGCTTGCGCATTATGTTTCATCCAATCCTGCAAAACAAGCCTATCCTTAGCCTATCCTCTGTCTGCTTAGATCTTTGAGTCGCTTGGTTTCACCACGGCCAAACTTCCGGCATCGCAGTTGGGGGCTCAGGCACACCTTGTCTGCTTAGGTTTCAACCTGTTAAGAGCCGACATTCCATCTCGCGAGGGAGCACTGGGTTTGGGCGGGATCTTGGTAATTGAGAGATGTCAGTTAAGTACAGCTAAAAGTAAAAGGGCAACATCTTGCTTAAAAACATCCCGGCCGGATCCAACTCTGGCACCAAAACCCACAAAAAAACATGGGAGTGTTGATCTCTGCAACCTTCAAACAAAACTTCCCCCTCCTCTGATCCCACCTGGAAGCTTTATTGTTTACTGGTAGTACGGCCAGGAGCCCCTAGTAGCGTCCTTGCTCCTAGGCTTCTGGTCCCGTTTTCGCTGCAAAAATCGAAGCGAATGGTGCGCCTGGTGAGCAGCTTGCACGCGACCGAGCCTCAAAGAATCAGCCCCCAAAGCTCCGAGTCGGAAGAGATGCCCTTTGCTCCGTTCGTAAGGCCAGGGGTCGCCTTACGTTCGGTTCTTGTTCAGTTGGTCTCGACCTTCCGGTCGGGGTCGATCTTCACGGAGGGCCCATGGATTTTTAGGGTACCCTCCACAACGACGAAAGGGAATCTCCAGACATACCCAGACAGTATGGTCCAGGAAAGTGATTCATTGGTGTTTTTTCCAAAAGCACTGGCTAGGCCAAGTTGGGGCTAACCCCCGCAACAAGCCGTTGGAGTTTTCTCTGGCGGGCGCCATTCGGTATTCAGATTCTGTGAAAAGCAAGGAGCATGTCCCACTGGATGAGAGCTCCAAGGTGGGGACATGCACGGTAAAGGCTTCGACCGGTTTGACCCACTGTCACAGATTCATGATTTGCAGGAAAAACAAGTCTTTGGACAATGATGGGCAGAAATGCAGTCGGAGGAGGAGAAAACGGGGCGACTGATAGTTGGGGATCTGTACAGCTGAAACGACAAGAAGCAACTGACATCAATTGACCATTTTGCTAGTTTGGAACATGCTGTTTGATGGATTTGATGGAAGTCACTTCAGAACCGGAACGACGCAGCGGAACGAGTCGTCTCAGAGGTAGCAACTCGGATCTTGGGTGATTCGGAGAATATCCGAGAAGAAAATCTGAGAAAGACGGGCGAGATTGCCAGGGATCTGGTGAAGGTCCCCCCATCTGGCGTCGGCCCAGCTGTCGGCTCCCGACCCAACTGCAAAGGCAAAGGATGTCCCCTGCGTGGGCGGAAATCGTTCTGGTTCCGGTGTTCAAGAACATCACTGGAGCCTTCACGTGAAATGAGAGAACGATGTGAATGAACAGTCTCAGAAAATCCCCATTCCTACCACCCACATGTCCAACTGGAATCAGATCTGGCGATGCAAACAAATGACCAGGTCCTGTCCTGGTTGCTAGTGTTTAGTGTTTGGGCCTTTATATGTACTACACTCCTATATGTTCAGGAAATTCCAGGTCTCTTCCAACTGCCGAAACCTAAAAACGCGCCATTGAATCCATCCTGCGCACCGTCCGGGGGTGACGATTCCTAGCCTCAACACGGCGGTGGCCAAAAAGCGCCCCAAGGCCGTGAAGCCTCGTAGCTCCTGAACGGCGGAGGTCTGACATCGAGGTCGGCGAAGGAGAAGGGGGGGCGAGAGAGGAGCAGCGGAAGGGTTCTTCCATCTGTGGCACCATGATATTGGTGGCCACAGCTGCTTGCAGCTGCTTGCCGTCATCCTGAGTGCGGTGTGGAGGGAGCTCCCATGTTGATTGTCCTGCTCCACTGTTCCTATGAAAAACAATTACGTTGGGGATCCTGTCATTTCATGTTTAAACCCATGTTTCCAAGACATTTGAGGAGATTTCTGAGCATGTCTGTGTGTTCCGTAAAGATCTGTATGTGTGTGTCTATGATGCCATGAACGGGCATGATGGCATGTGTGTGTGCCATGTTCTTTCCGATTCCACTTCCCCATCTGCACGACTCCAGTGGACAGCTCTCCTCTGGCCCAAACTCATCATCTGGACCTGCAGCACGGCTTCAGGATCGCCAGATCAGCCCAAGCAGGATCGGCAGAGTAGAAACGGCATAGCGGCATAGCCATGAAAAAGATTGTGGTGAAACCAAGCGAACAGGTATCAAAATACACCGTCTCGTTTCAAGCACAGCATCCGTAACCAACAGCAGCTTCGCGTCTGATCTTCCAAGTCGTGATCTTCCACGTAGTTCGTCGAATCGTCGCACAATCTCCACTTGTCTCTCGCCTTGTGGACAAAGTCCATCAGCCTCCAAGATGAACGGGGAGGTCTGCCCCTTGGGATGTCAATTCGCTCTTGTTACTAGTAATGCCAGGAGCTATTACTTGCGTCTTTGCTCCCAGTAGCGATGCCCTTTGTTACTAGTAGCTTCTTGTTACTAGGTCCCCCACCGGGGTGAAAACCAACTCAGGTGAACTGACTCCCCCACTCAGCGGTGAAGCGAACTGAAGCGGCCATGGCTCCATTCCGTTCATTTTGTTTCGTGGACTTTCATTGATCATAGAAGAAAAAAAAACATAGAGAAACAAACATTCCGTTGCAGCATCCAAGGTTGCGGCCTTCAATGCAAGAAAATAGGAAAGCGACACGGCATCCTACTTGCATTTGCAAAAACCACCTTCTTCAAAGAGCACGGAATCACGTCTAAGCACCCAGAAGCGAAAGGACATCGTCTTCGACATCGGTCACGATCATCGGTCACATCGTCTTGAAGAAAAGGAAAAGAAGGTACCTGTGTAGCTCTGCTTCAGGGAGACCTCCCAGGCGTTGTGGTGTAACAGGATATCCTGTGAGGAAACAGGATCCTGTGAAACAGGAAGTAGGCCTGTTCGAGGCTCCGAGCCCTTTGGGCCACCCAAGCCGACTCGATACAGAACGAGTTGACCCAAGACTCGAGTGCATGCGGGTTGATTGGGTTGATTGGGTTCCGCTTGGGACGCTCACAATGAAACGACCCTGATGAGCCTACCAATTGAATGAGACAAACCCGCTATTGGGCTTTGGCAAGCAGGGTTCGCACACATCGAACCAAAATAGAACCAATCACACTTCCAAGCAACCGCATGCAAACGCTTTTTCTTTGCTAGCATGGAACTCCCCGAACTTGAACGTGGCTTCCCGGGCTTCCCGAGCCGTTTCCCTGGAAAAAATATCAAGGTCACCTCTGGGATTTTCGTGGGAAAACCCCATCCCCAAGGCGAAGCTCGGTGATTTGGGTGATTTCAGTGCGACATCGACAGGCCCGCTCTCCGGGCTCTTCGGGCTCCACCCTCTGAGGCTGTCGACCATGAGAGCCAAGCCCACTGAGTCGAACCTGGGATGTGGATGAGGAGCAAGCAAGGGTCATTCCTGCTGGAAACTCAATGGCTTGGATGATTCGGTGTGTCCTCAAGCTCTGCAAGGCCCCTCGCTATTAGGCTCCTTTTGGGTGTTCGTAATCCCCTGTGTGAGAAGGAAAAAAGATCGCCTCCCAACACATGGGTCTGCAAGAGTCTGGTGGTGTTGTTGAGAGCCGCACCCGACATGTCTGGCGAACCACAGATGTCTGGCACCACATGGCCCTACGACTTGCAAGGCGGCACCATGAGAAAAAACTCCACATCTGGCGTTTTAAGCGCACCTCCAACCCGACCCAGAGCAAGCTCATCGCATCTATAATACAGCCGCTGAAAAAAAGATTCGACCTGGCGATCTATTCGATCGCGACTTAGGATGAGGCCAATCGCGCAGGAGGCCGCCAGCATCAATGCCCTTCTCCCCTTCGAAGGAGACAGACCTCGAAGGAGTCAACAAAAACGATGCTTTTCTCACATGGAAGGCTCGCCTTTCTCGGTCACCCCCCCGACGCGGTGCGGTGACCGACGGATGTGAGAAATCAGGACTGAAGGGTGGGCTCTGGAACACCTTCGCTCGAGCTCCTCCGTTTGACAGCAACCTCACCGACCTGTTGGGTCTTCGGATTTGGAATTTCCAACCACGGGGTGCCAGGGAGTGTGGGATCCTCCGTCCTTCCAGTCAGTCCCAGCGGTCCGGACCGTCGACCGTCCGGACTGCGGATCAGTCTTGGCGCCAAGCACGTGGGGTTCGCGCCAAGCGGCTCACTCCAAAGCATATGGCTGCAGTGGAGCCCCTAGTAGCGTCCTTGCTCCTAGTAGTAAGGCCAGGAGGCCCTAGTAGCGTCCTTGTGGCTACACTATGATATTCCAATATGGCTTCAGTGGAGTTGCAGACCCAGGCACCAAATGCCCCAATCACAAGTGACCGGGAGGTATGTGTCTTCTTTCGGAAAGTGTTCAAAAACATCTGGTGCTTTCTTTTGGGTCACCACTGGTCACTACAGCCATGGTGGACAACTCTCCAGACTCCATTGGTGGCGAAGAACACACCGTTGACTCGGTCGAGTTCATCACAACCCCCGAAAACGCTCCCTGCGAGGGGAACGGTGTCCTGCAAATGATGACCCTGTTTCTATAAATACAACCCCCCTGTTGAACACCCCTTGTTTGTGGGGGGAGTTCATGTTCTTCCCACTATGCCATCCACTTCCATGATGCTTGGAGGAGTAGTTCTAGATTGGAGAATCTCTGTGGCCAATCGACGGACGGTGCAGCCGTCGGGCACCAATCGACCGGTCCCAAGAGGGGCTCTTAAACTGAGCGCCGATGCATGTTCGGCGCCAGTAGCTCAGCGACAGGACAATGGAAGAAAATATTCATGGCCTCCTGGCATATGATGACTGAGAGTGTTTATCGAATGCTGAAAGGAATGTCAGGAGACTGGTTGCAAAGCCTTAGGGCCTAAAGGCTCTTGAAAAACGTTCCACAAATTCCTGGCATCATTAGCTCTAGCCTCACTAGCGATGATGATACTCTCTTCCAAGAACCCCGCGCAGTGTCACCTTTCGTGGTCGTGATAACGGCTCGGCCTGTTCGTGTATATAAAGATATTGGCTGGTGTTTAAAGAATGTTGGACTTTGAATGTTTCAAGCAATCAAGTCATAGTCAAAGTGGTACCGATATCATGGTGCTGACAGGGGCGAAACCGCACAAACAACCGCAGCTTCATAGTATACTGCAAACAAATGAACAAAAAGCAATGCGGAGGCCAACAAAGGAAACATGCAGCTCGTCCTCTCACACTAACATCCAATACCACACCTTCACCAGGCATCCGAAAACCACTGCATCCTTGCCTGCAACACGTGTTTCCGGCGCACGAAGAGGTGCAGGGCCGAGGGGAGCAAATGGGCACTGCCCATCTCACGTTGCAGTTCTCGACGCCTTCGCACCAGCAGCTCCTCACAGCGTTTGGGCGCAATGGCTCCCAAACTGGAGATATTGTTTCCTACTGAATGCTGGGAACCATCACAGCAAGAGTATCATCTTTCAATTGACCGTAGCATGCGACCGTTGCAAGAAAACATGTTGAGTTGTCATGCATGTGACAGAAACCTGAGCGGATGGACAGACCATGAGATGCACTTCGTCGGTTGGTACGTTTCACGGAAAGACTAGACCAACCCTCCTCAAAAGAATTCCTGAAAGCACCTGCGAAAGGGTTCTCCGCAAAGAACGGCTGCCAATTTCAATTGTCCAACCATCATCGTCATCATCATCATCATCATCATCATCGCTACCTTGCGTCATTTCCTGCTGTGCTTTCGGGCCACCATCTAGTTTGGCCACTCAAAAAATTAGCTGGGGACACAGCCCGGCTTGCCGACCAAGGTTTTCTATCTCAGTTTGGTTTCACGGTGCATTGCTCTTGACTCTCCCGTTGTAGGCCGGGGTTTGGAACGCCTTTTTCCTGTCGTGTCTGTGGCCACTCCATCTGCCAGACTACGCGGGCAGCGATGAAATGTCCAGCAGCAACACGAGCGACCCTGGTGATGGAGGGTTTAAGCTTGCTCGGGCACGCATGCGCCAACATGGAGAAATCCCAAATGATCCACTATTGAGTATGAAATACGTTCTCTGAAACATGTATGGAAGCGAAAACACCTTCCACTCACCTAACCTGATTGTGCACATGCATGCTTTCAGAGGTGAGGTGTTTCCCCTGTGAAAGCATGTTCTTCCTCCTGTTTGTTGCATTAAAGGCCCCATCACCAAGGGCACATAGGCATTGCTGCTTCGCCCTGCTTCGCCAGCAAAGGCCACGGTCAATGTGGCGAAAGGTGATCGATCTTGGCTACACAAAAATGTTGCCTGAAAACAACTCCTGGCACGGGGTACTGAAGGGACCTAACAAAAGACTCTCATGAATTGGGCCTAGCCCAAGGCCCAACCATCAACGACCCGCCAGGACAAAACGTCCAATCATCAATTTGCCAGAAGTTAGAAGGTCCGATCATCACTTTGACCCGGCCAGAGGCCAAAACGTCCAATGATCACTTTGACCCGGCCAGAGGCCAAAACGTCCAATCACCACTTTGACCCGGCCAGAGGCCAAGATGTCCAATCACCATTTTGACCCGGCCAGAGGCCAAAATGTCCAATCACCACTCTGACCCAGCCAGAGGCCAAAATGTCCAATCACCACTCAAAACGTCCAATCACCACTTTGACCCGGCCAGAAGCCAAAACGTCCAATCACCACTTTGACCCGGCCAGAGGCCGAAACGTCCAATCACCACTTTGACCTGGCCAGAGGCCAAAATGTCCAATCACCACTTTGACCCGGCCAGAGGCCAAAACGTCCAATCACAACTTTGA